CGGTTAAAATTAAAGTGTCCTGATTTGAAGGGTTTGAAAATATGATCACTCTTCCTTAACTATCCATTAGCTAACTGCTAAAGTGATTATATGGTTACAATTTAAACAAATGAAACTTGACCCTGTATACAACATCTTTATTTTTTTTTCCAATGTTAACAGAGCTCTTGATTGCTCCTGCATGATTTTCCGCCTGCAGACAAATATTAATGGACTCCCTGCTGGGTGAAGTAAGGGAAACAGGATTTTCATGTGTTCGTGATTACAAATGAAAACTTCAGCTAATCAACGTGGACTTAATTCAAATCCTAAAAATGAGAGATTAAAATCACACCAGTCAGTATGCTTGATTTTGTACAAAGTCATGACCTGAGTAAAATGGTTTCCCCACATCTACGCATTAATATTGGAAAAATATTTAATCACTGGAGTTTTAAATCCGAGGGTCACATTGTGATCTGACTCCATCTACACATCATCATAATCCTACACCCGACCCCCAGCAGGATAAGTGTAGTTGAAGATGGCACCGAAGCCCTCATATGTTATAAATCCATGACTAATTCAGCACCAAAGCCTACAAACACTCTGAAATAATCCCGCCATCTTCCTACACAGTCCAGAACCTTTGATGAAAGTCAGCGCAGATCAAGGGGATCTGTCAAGTGCTTTCCAATTTCCCCAACTTCATATAACAGAGGGCCTTCCTTCAAAGGAGTCATATTCTCCAAGTTTATCCTCAACGGTTCAATATCAGCGGCTCAGATTCTTGCCATAGTACACCACTTTCAGGTGAACTCCAATACTTGATGTAAGAAGCAGAGCCATACACAGCATTGTCTTAAATAATAGAAAGGCTAATAAAATGAACGTCAGTAAGATCCAGAGGAACCATGCATTGTCTCAGCACCTGTGTCTGATTAGACTGGAAGCACTTTGTGAGCTGACAGTGTTCTCTCCTGTCTCGATCATGTTTGACAGTAGTGTTTGCTAAATGAATTATAAAACTGTAGGAGTGTTAATGGAAACAAGAGCGTCATTGAACAGTTAAAAAGTGCTTGCCAACATTTTGTTTGACACTGAGTGAATCTCGGGTTGTGAAATCAGTTTTTCTGATGATGATTTTCTAACGCAGGTGTATTTAGCTTCTCATATGAATCCACATCTGGATAGTCACACTGCAAGACAGGTGTTTACAAGGCCGCCCATAAGGGGGGGATAAAGGGAAAGCTTTATGGGGCCCAGTCACATGCGGAGGGCCCACAGAAAAAAAAAAAACATCCATCCTAATTTTAAACATTATTTTAAACCAACATACTCACGATGACTTCAATAAACAAAAATATATTTTATTTATCATTGCTTCAGTAAAATGTAGCCTGTTTCAAAATGTAAACCCTCACTTCATAAATTTTATGGATGAAATATGTAATATTTATACCTATATAAAATATGTTACAGTTATCAGGTATAAAATACTGTTTTTCTTTTCATATCCATCTAAATGTTGCAGAAAGAAAATAAATCACTATGTCAGTTTGTCTGTGCAACCCTCATCCAGATGAATTAATAATGAATTTATAATCCAATTTTAAGCCTCTGATTCAGAAACAAATCTAGTCATTCAGTATCGCATAAGGTGCCTTCAAAACCCTCTTCCAAGGAACTGAAACCCCAAAGTGCATCTGAGGGTCAGTGTGTGAATAAGAGGTGATGGTTAAGTGCTTTGGATAAAAGCGCTACATGACTGCAGTCCATTTACTGGAGTCGCTTTCTTAACAGTTTCACACATCTACTGCTCTCAGTTTGCTTCGCTGTCAGACCACAAACAAACTGCATCGGCGGTCACTTTAAAGCACATTGAGACTTTTTTTTTTACACCATGAGGTTAAAAGCAAACAAACAGGTTATGGATCAGTATGTTCCTAAAGATCACACATACAGAGCCATGATCAATATCAGTTACTTATATACGAGTCAAAGGAAAAATGTGCAGATTGGTTGACCAGCTGCACATCACTATAATATAAATATCAGGGTGCACTAACGCAGTTTTTGCGTGGGTGGCGCCATTTTTAAATTCAAAACCAATGCAGTTCAGCGTTTTCAGCGCCCAGAGTGTATAAATGCCCTTAGTGTCAGCTGTTTTTTGTCGCCCCTATATTCAGATTACTGATATGAGCCTGTCCAATATGGAACAGCCTGGGAGTGACCTTGGAAGGCAATGAGCATAGTGCATTCTGGGTGTTGAAGTATTGGAACCCTTTGGGCAGTAAGGGATGACAGCTTTTTCCTAGCATTTATATGGCTAGGTAGCAACGATTTCAATTTTCTTTCACTTTTCTACTGCACAGACAGTCTGGTTTAATGAAATGTTTCAACTCCAAGCAGCAAAGTCCCACTTTAAGAATCAAGAATACACAGCTGGTATTGCTGTGTGCTAATTATATAAGAAAAAAGCAGTAGTTGGTAGATACAAATCAACTCTAAACTGAACGAGCTACCAGGTCTAATTTAGCAAATTACAATATTAGTTAACAGTGAAATTGAAAGGCAGCAGGAGGCAGCAGGTGTGTTTTCTTGGCCACCCTCTCTACTGTGTGACACTGAGCGAGTGCAGCTGCAGTTCACAGAGCATTGTCACATTCACCATTTTCTGAAACATCCTAACACTTTTCTGCAGAGACACACTGTGCTGCAAACGTGCAGACATTTACCTTTTATTAATCTATTCATGTTACCTAAACCAGCTGGATGCATTCATGTTTTTTGGGATAATTTTGTACACAAGTTTTTAGAGTGTATTTTGATGTTTGTGACACAATATCCAATACAATAAGTACACAGACTACAATTGGGCAAATTTCAGGTCCGATTCCCCCCTTCTTACCAAAGTCAGCAAAGGCCTCATTTTCTGATGGTTCTAAGGTTTATCTTCCTAGGTGTTAACCTCCAGGATCTGCATGGAAGAAGTTTGAAATCGTAGATATAAACATGTTCAGTGTTTACGATCAGAAATCCTGTTGTGTGGGGAGATTGCCAAAGACAGCACAGACTGCATTGTCACATGAAATTGAACAATAGCCAATCAGGAAGCAAGCTGACTTAAGCAGGAAGCACAACAGACATAACCATGACAGCAAACGCAAAGCATAAAGTTAGATGGATGTCAGAAATGGAGGACCAACTGGTTGATTGGTAAGGGACCCCCTTGAAAACGAGATGGTGCATCTCAAGGGGTTATCCTTCCAATAAAAATGTCCACTAATTTATGGCATCAACACACATTTTTATGCAACATGTCCTACAATCGAACCAACAAGGACAGGACTTGGACCGAAACTGGTACAGCAATGGATGTACCAGCTAGCTACCAGTTAGCTTTACCATTGTGTTTGTGTCCTCTAAAGTCCCCTTTGGTCCATGAACTGTAATTTATGAGTGAGGTCACCTATCCATTATGACAGGGGGCTCCGAGGCTCATCGGCTCATCAGCAGCAGCCACCATGCTGGAAATCCTGTCTCAACTTAACTTTCAGTCAACCTAACAACAGGCTGAGAGCTGGAGCTGAGGCAGGTTTTAAGCCTTATGACAAACGGCTACACCATGCTCTCCTGTCAATCATGTCAGCTATCATCAGTATTGTTCACGAAATCAAAATGGAGCCGTTTAAAAGAAATCACCCCCTGGTACAATGTATGTCCATGTTGAAAATAACTAATTAGACCTATTTAGTTTATTTGTACCAGGCTGTAAGCATTTTAGCTGTGGTGTGTATGTGACTTTCGGGGCTCCTGGAGCCAGCCTCAAGCGGACACTCAACGTACTGCAGGATTTTGCACTAACTCATTGGATTCATTTTTCAACACAGGAGGTTGCCACTTGCTCTAGACATGAAAATTGTACCCTCAGAAGACGAGTCTTCTAGTTGATTTAAGTTCCGTCCTGTTGCCACTTGGTTTGGCCGCGCGAGTGTATGAGTTTTTAGAGTTGAGAGGCTGTTGGTGAATGCATCTGTTAGTGTGTGTGGTGTGCTGAGTTGGTTGTCTCTTTTCACACTACACACTAAGAACTAAACTGTTGAATCTGTCATCATTTCATGTCCTGTGTGGGGTCTTCCATATTTTAACAACATTTTGACTATCGATTAGTGCATGTGTGTCAGGCTTAACACAGGTCACTGCCTTTAAAAATATGTGTTTGACCAATGGACTAGTTGATATCTTGATTGAAAACTAGTATTGAATAATTTAACAAGGGTAAAAAAACAAAATAAATGCTAAAATTCACAGAGGCAATACAAGTAAACAGAACATGTTCTAAGTGAAGTGAGAAGAGGATTCAACTTATTTATTCCTCATCCTTGTCTACTTCTCAGCAAAACATTTGTATGTATCCATTTCATTCATTATTTTGTAACCTATAACAAACATAGATGTTGCATTGACCTTAGTCTGATATTTGTGAATAAGTATTTAAGCCTTTGGTTGTGTATCTCTATTGATACACCAGCATGTCAACACACTCAATCCTCAGCAGTATCAACTGTTAACCTTCTGTTTTGGCTTTTGTTTTTTCTCTGAAACCTTGTAGAGAAACATTTTGAGGGCACAGACATCTACAGTACGCTGGCTTCTGCCCAGCTTTTTTCACTGTCTATGGATACATTGATTCATCCATCTCTCTTTCTGACTCCTCCTCTATCCCACTTCTGGACCATCCAGTCTCAGCAGTCTGGTTCTGCTTGAGGTTTCTACCTGTTAAATTTTTTTCTCTGCAACTGTTGCTGAGTACTTGTTTACTGGATTCATGTCTCTTACATCTGTCATGTTTAAACTTTTACTGTGATTCGGAGCTATTGCAGAAATTATGTCTAGCCATGAGGGATACCAGTTTGATGTTTTGCAGCTGAGAAGAGTGTGCAGTAATTTTATTATTTCCTTGATTACATGAAGTGGTCCTGCAAAGAAGAGGCCAGTGACAAGGCAGCTAGGCTTACTTGGTTGTTGCTCAGCCATAGATCAGGACATCTGTGAAGGCGTCCTTCAGGGTGGTCAGAAGAAAACAATCTTCAGCTACCATGAGCCATCAGCTCATTCCTTTTGATCAAATATTTTTGGCTGGAAAGTGCGGTGGTGCTGGTTGTTGACAGTTCCACAGTGCGATTAGCACAGCTCAGTTGGTGAGGAGTCAAAATGCTTACACCCACAGTGGGGCCGCCATTACCAACTGTTACAATAAAGCCATCCATGCCTTTAGAAGGAAGAAGAAAGTTCACAGTTCCTCTTCAACATGAGTGTAGTCTCTCGACTACTGCTGCTGCCGCTGCTGTTTCCGCGTCCTGACCAGGTGCGCCCAATTTACCAATCAGCAGCTCCTCACAAACAGTTGGAGAGGAAATGACATCGCTCCAGAAATCGCCAGCACTGGGAGTTGTAGTTTTCTCCCAACATCAAAGATAGCTTCAGAACCTTCTGTTCACAACCATCTCTTATATAGAAGATAGAAAGAAAAGAAAAACCTAAAGATCTGTCCGTAACATTTGCTTGATCTTATTAGTTGTATTTGAATATAATCTGTATAAGGCAGAGTTGCATTATGGGATTCTGCTGCAGTGACTGTTAACTGTAGGACTACATCTCTCATGGTGTCCGTTCCTCCTATCTGCTCATTAAAAGTATTTGTGTTATAGTTATAAGGTTTATTTATCTGAATTAATCCTCTGTCTAAATACTGATCCAGATCCTGGAGGCTTTAATGAAATACAGTTGAACTAATTTGCCTGATCCAGTGAAATCAATGTCCAGTATAAATGACCAAATTACAGTTGATTACCCCATGATTAGACAGCGTCAACACAATGATTCTCCCATTGCCACAATCTACCTTTGCTTGGCTTACACTGTACATAAATGTCAGCGTTGAATGTGACATAAAGAAAAATGCAGCATCAGCATTGGAATTCATGTTTTCTATTTAATAACAAAAACTCTTAGAAGTTGTTGAATTATTAAAAGACGTTTCTCGACAGGGGGATCCGTCTTAGCCTGCCGTTATTTTGACTGAAAATCAGGTTGAGACAGCAGTTCCTGCATGGCAATATAGCAATTTACGGGCTTCCAAAATCGTGCAGTTTCTTGACTGTCCACTTGAGGCTGATCTGCAGAAGTATCCAAAGTTTCATACGCATCCCATTCAAAAAACACATGTTAACAGTGTGGTTCAAAAAAGAGTCTGATAAGCTCATGTCTCAATTGGTACAGTGTATACCAATTGAGACATGAGCTCAATTTTTTGATGACTCATCCGTTTTGTCGTTATGAAGGATAGACGGTATTCACGATAAGGCGTGTGGCTGTCCTGATGAGCAGACGGGTGCGGTGTAACGGTTTGCTCAGAGGCTTAAAACACGCTTCAGCTTTGACTCATATGTTGAGACAGCATTTCCAGCATGGCGACCACCATCAATAAGACTCCAAAGCCCCCTGCAGTAACAGATGGGTGATGTCACTCTGGCTTTGTCCATTACTATTTAAAGTCTTTAAAACCCCCAATTTAACTCAATTTCAAAAGCCTATTTCTGCCCGAACACCAATAAAAGGGTTTAAATTCAAGTGAGTGGCATATTTTGCTATTATGTGGGTTATTGTATTCTATCTTTTATTCTTTATATTACATGAACATTCTTGTTTTGTAATGTTTTTAAATAGTATGACATATTGGTCTCAAAGCTGACATAACCCAATGGCAACTTGGCTGTTGATGGACACCATTGTTCCAGTAATTCATTATTTTGATGTTTTAATGACCGGCTACCAAAATCTCACAATGATGTTCAACTGGTTTTTAGATCACAGGACATTAAACTCTACAAGTGTTGTTTTAGTTTAATTAGTTCATTCAGTATTGTGATGATACATTTCAAAGCTGCAGTATTAGATTCTTCAAATGTAAAGACATGAAGATACCCTGAACCTGGACAGATTTAAAATGAAAGAAAAGCATTGTTGCGATACAGGAAATTAGTGTAAAAAGGAGACTATGGGGTGCCGGCAGCCTAGTTGCTAGTGTGCGCGCCCCATGTGTGGAGGCTACAGTCCTCCAAATGGTAGGCCTGGGTTTGAATACAACCTGGCTCTGTTCCCACATGTCATTCCCCACTTTCTCTCTCGCCCCAATTCTGATTCTATTCATTATCACTATCTCTTAAAAAAAGGCATAAAAAGCCCAACTAAACCTTGATCAAAAAAAATCTGTGACTATACACTCTTGGTAAGTCCTTAAGTGATTCTTCTGAAACTCAAAATTCAATAAATTAATTCTTAAAAGCAGGCCAATGTTGTCTGATGAAATACATTTCTTAATGAGCTATTAGTCCGTTGAAAAAGAGCTGAACACTGGAGCACTTCAGTGTTGCTTCATGCTTGGTTTCTTTCTGATTAACACTGAAAGCTGAGAGGAGGATGATGGATTGTCCTCAAAATAAGGCTCTTCAAAGACTTGATTTTGTTTAACCTGTAAAACTACCGTACACTGTACATGTAAATAGAGACCTTAGTAACACTAAAGGTAGTATGACAACACAGGGTTTGTAAATTTGGGCCCGAGCACTGACCTAGGAGCGAGGACCCTATTGAAAGTGAAAGAGTTATTTTTATCCTTTGCACAAATGAGTCGCTTATTTGGGGGCTTTAATGTGCTCGAAAACTCACCAAACCTCACCCAAAATTTTCCCTGTGAAAGTTTACGTATGAAAGCGGCTCGGTGCAAGGGCAACGCCGAATGGCTTCAAAGCACCACCAAACATCACCCAGGGTACTGCGCTTAACCTACATGCACAAAAATTGGTGGGCATATGTATCTCGATGAGACGAGAAAATAATTACACGCTGTCATCCCTTACATGATCATACTCTAAAATGTACAGGAAGTCTGCTACATACAGTCAAAGTCCGATTCTGACATGCACTGGAGTGCAAGAGTACTTCATCACCGCTTGTGGTTTTAATTAATGGTAAAATTAGCCAAGCTTTGCATCAGGGAAATGTAAGGGCTGTTTGAACGTTTGATGTTTTCCGTATCATTTACAACAGCAGTTTAAGCTTCGCTGACTTACTTAAAAAACTAATATGTAGCAGATAATGTATAGTGAGCGGGTTTTTATTGAGGAATTGAACCCCGACATGGTTAAGAGGACCTTGTCCATGTTCCTTTGAGATAACAACCAGCCCAGTTAGAGCTGCGTCCATAGCAACAGTTCAGTGTGTCGGGATCATAAACGACTTAAACTAGCTGTTATTGCTCACAGTAAAGTGAACTTTTATACTGTTGGTGAAAGTGAGATGAGAAGAACAGATCCACACGTAGCACATGATGAGTATTTCTGCTTTGTTATGTTGACATTTTCTTTTTCATTCAGCAGTCTTGAAAACACCACTGTGTTCCATTATGTATTTTCTTCATAATCCATTCCCAGTTTTGTCGATTTCTCTGTCATAGCATAAAGTTTCTTCATATTTTGTGCACTTTCACCACTATTTTGCTCACCATTCGCTTTCCCCACAGTAAACAGACCATCATCGAATTGTCCTTACTTCTTTTGGCGGATTGATTTGATGAAAGTTAGTCCCCCAGATTCTGTGGAAAAGGCTGCTTTCCCAGCAACTGTTTGCTCTTCTTAGTAAAGGTGTTCTTCTTCACGATGGTGATCCATCAAAGGATAGCGGGCAGTTGCTATGCATTTATGACCGATCAGAATCAAGTTAGAATCAATAATTATCCAGCAAAAGGTAAAAAGTTGATTTCAGTTTCAATGCTATTCTAACAAGACTCTTTCAGGTGTGACTAACTTCAGTGATCAAGTTGAAGACATCCCTTTGACTTCTGCTAATCAGTGTTTTGATATGTACTCTGGTATTTGGGTCGTTGGGAACCCTTAAATGACGAACAATCAATATTGAAAAGCACCCAGCAAGTGCAGTGCTGTCTCTAGTGTAACGACCTTCCAGTCCTCCCAGCCTCCTCCAGGTTTACCGCCGCCCCCATATCAACCTATGCAGTGAGACTACACCGGGTTGCATAACCGATTGATTTTTCTTTAATGCAGGTCTGCAGCATTCATGACATTCAAGAACTGTCACCTCTAACGTGCTTCCCTGGGACGCAGTTTATACACGTAATAGGCTCAACAAGACTGCAGGTGCTTCTTTGCAAATGAAATATGCTGTGCTTTAGCCTCATGAGGAAGCATCAGTGATAAAACTCTACTTTGGAGTAAAACCCAAGGGATGATGGCCAATAACAAAAAATGCCTCTTTACCACTAAACATTTCCTTATCTGTAACCAGCACCATAAGACATACGTGATATAAACAATACAATGTGACAGCACGTTTTCATTATGTTTCAGCAAATCTGTAGTAATTGTGTTATTTGAACTAACAGACATTCACTGGAAAAATAAGGGAACATTAGGTTTTGTCTCTTATAGGACTTGATGCATACTAGGATGTGTCTGTTTTTCTTCAGTCGGTAATCATCTATAAGATTTCATTTCTCCTAATGGACTTATACCATTTTGTTTGTGTCCAATGCGATATTCTGTCAGGAGCCATCCACTTTATGAACATTACAGTCCAATCTGTCCGGCGTTGTGTCTCCTAATGCCGCCTCTGGATGTGTGCATGTGTAACATCAAAGCCGCTGCTGCACTTTGAATAAACAGATCTATATTGAATCTTTTCATTTTCGCTCGTCAAGGACACAAATATGACTTTCATGACAAATTCGCTGCTGGATGAGTCTACATTCTCTCAGGCTGTATATCTGCAGCTCACAAGGGAGGAACGGCAATCCCCTGAACCAGGAGAAAGTGAAAAACGCGAGTCCTTGATTTTTGAGCGAGATGCTGATTGGATCAGACAGAATCTTTGGCAAACCAGTTTAGCCTGGGCTGCATTAACCAAGGTCATTTCACTGGAGACATCCCAGACTCCATCAGAGGAGCGGTCTGCCTTCTCATTTGTTTTTTGCAAATGCCACATTGCCTCTCTATGGCCGACCTACTATACCTGCCTGACACTTCATTGAAATGATAAAGCATTTCAGTCCTTCGCTTTAACAGCAACAATTCATCAGCATCGGCCAAACCTCTAAGTGCCATTCACTTCCTGACAAATGGGGCATAGGAATAGGTGTAGGGTTTAATTTCCTTCTGCAGTGCTGTGCAATTAGGATAATATCAGTATGATAAATGTGATCACATTCCTCTATTTATCTGTTTAACTCCACTGTTCCTTATAGGGTCAGATACAGCAGCAGGCACAGCCACAATTTGCTTTTCT